ATGTTCATGTTGGTCTAGAAATTATTCAAGTTTTGTGAATCTTATATATATTCGTATTAATGAGCTGTGTATACACAACACATCATTTGACTTTCGGAAGTCCATATATAATATAATATTATTTTTGTTTTCGTATTACAGTGTAATCCTGCACAAGGCATCAAGGCATTGTATGACACACTCTACAATGGTCCACCAAAGGTTATGCTATATGGTCCATTCTGTTCAACGGCAGCACAAAGAATCACAGACGCCGCTGAGAAGTTCAATCTGGTCACGGTAAGATAGACATAACACAATTATGATTAACTTTTCTACGCTGGCACAATGAGCGAAATTACGTTTTAAATATACTGAATTGTGACTCCATCTTATCTGTTCATATATGCATACTGTTGCTTAAAGCGGGAGGGTCGTCACCTGCGCACGCGCGGGAATTGAGTCCCAAGCGACGATAACACACGCTAGAAAACGCAAAGGCTCATGGGTAGACGCTTGTTTGTAAACAATGGCCATCTGACGCATGCGCAGGTGATGACTGCCCCGCTTTAAGATGACATTCGAATAACAGTTCTCAATGTTTTGTTGTAACTTTTGATAGTTCTTTTGACTGATAGTTCTTTTTCAGTAGTGTCACTGTAGGTATTGCTAATAAAAAGCGATTGCATTTTACATTTATAGTATAATAAATAATGTTAGTACATGATCACGTGATTTTTATTATAGTTTTCCTATGGTGGAAGTTCACCTGCATTGTCAGATCATGAACGATACCCTCTATTTTACCGTACAGCAATGACAGCAGTGGACACTCATAATCCTACCAGGGTTGCCTTACTTAAACGCTATCGATGGAGTAAAGTGGCGCTTATCACACAGAATGATGATCTTTTTACATATGTAAGTAAACAATATAGAGACTAATACATACATGGAGGTAAAACATTAACCTGTATACGATAACTGAATTCACACATTATATATGGTTCATTCGTTTTCACATCAGAATTTTTAAAATAATGTTATACCAATTTTATGGTGATTATGCTGTCTGTACAGATGTTCCTAATGTAAATATAATTCAGGGAAACATTTATCTTGCAAACCAGCTTTAAAGTAAGGTATATCGGTTGGATCCTATGTGAACGCACATATTATTTCACCTATTATTTTTTTATTATTATTTTTTTTATTTTTTATTATTTCACCTTTGAGCATGATTGGCCACCATGTAATTCGTTATATAAACTATTTTCAACAAAATCCAGATTATGTAGACGTTGTCACAATTAACATAAACTGACTGAATTAATAATTGATCATGAAGATTCCCTGGTCGATACGATGAAATAGAAGCCGGGGGATGTTCCCTGGCGTTACGATAAAGCACATACGGTGGCCGGAGGAATGATCCCTGGTCGTCACGATGAAGTAGTGGCACGGGGAATGTTCTCTGGTCGCTACAGTAACTGTACAGTAAAAGCCGGGGATCGTTCCCTAGTCGCTATATTGAAGTTATGGTAGCTAAGATAAAGTAATAGCCAGGGGAATGACATTTATGCTTGAGTTACCAATGTTCTCGTTTCGATATTGTAGACAGTGAAGAAGTTGTTGAACGACTTACATGAAAACGAAATCGATGTTTTGACTTCGGAAGTTTTCAACCAGGACCCAACCACACCCATAACAAACATTAAGGTTAGTCAAATATCATACAAAATGAGCAACCACACAAAACAGATTCGATATCTTGTCTCATTTAATTATGTGACGTTTCTTCTGTTATTTATGCATTCATTCAAACTGATTATTCAGTGATTGGGTTGATCATACCACGTGACATAATGGCTCTTTTAATACATCGGTTTACTCCCTCTTATTGGTGTGAGCTTCATACCCCAGATAATAAGATGCGGACCAGAAAATAACACCCCCGCATTACCTGCAGTGTGTCTCGTACAATAATTATAAATAAAATAAGCATTGTCACGTATCTTTACTACTTTCCAAGCAATATATGAGTACACAGTACAATTATATTGAATTCACATCATTCGGAATTGTTGGTTTATTTAATCAAAATAAAAGACAGAGCATGACTCCCGATGTGTGCGTATTGCCGGCTCAATGTGCCCAATCCAAGACGATTAGTACGTATATAGGCGTAATTTCAATATATGAAAATGTCACATATCAATACAACTGTTATAAAGGAACGATTATTCCAAATATACAAAATTTTCATTGCAGTACTGAAAATGAAGACCTAAATCAATATTCCATGTTTGTGTATTTTTCATCGGGTTTCCTTAAACATACATATCCTGTCAGATGATAATTTCATAATCAGACAGATTATTAGTAATTAAATTTTCCCTGTTTCCCTATTTTAGAATAAAGATGCAAGGATCATCATAGGAAGTTTTTACCCAGACATTGGTGTAAATGTATTCTGTGAAGCTTACAGACAGGGAGTGTATGGACCTAAGTATGTATGGATGATCGAAGGCTGGTTTAACAACGGATGGTGGAATATATCAGACAGTGATTGCGGATGTACCACAGATCAGCTAGCCCAAGTAGCACAGGGATACTTTGGCACAAGTTGGCTGAGTAGAAATCCAAACTTGAGTACTATCAACTTCGGTGTGGTGGGTTTCTTTGTATTTGTGAATTTGTTGTGCTTCTGAATCTGCCATGTTTTAATCGTGTATAAAAAGATATCTATTTTATAGAATTTGGTCATTTATGTTATTGTAATGTGAATGCTGATTCAGTTACTTTTGATAGTACTATTTCAAAACTGTAATGGTTTAATATAATGATATACAATCGCCTTAACCACTTTCTCCTGAATTCAAATACAACATAAATCGGTTTCCAATTGTAATGTGAATGTGATTTCTTGAATTTGCATCATAACGCTCCCATGTCCTGATTTTCTGCAATATCGCGGGAAAAGGGTGTATTAATTTAGTTAGTCATGTATATGCCCAATAACTTCTTCGGGTGAAGTTCTGACATTCAAAGTTTTTTTTTTGTATTTCAACAGCCTACAACAGCCGAGATGGCATCATATTTTGCATCTAACGATGATGGTCCGTTTTCTCCTATATTATATGACGGTATATGGGCTTTGGCGTTGACATTAAATTCGAGTATAAGTAGACTATCCATTACTGGCAGGAAATTGGAGGACTATCACTATGGTAACAAAGATTATGCCGACATCATTTCGGAGGCTGTGCAGGATGTAGAGTTCACCGGATACACTGTGAGAAATTTACTTATAATCACCCCCGTATTCCGAATGAGTGAGACAGTATCGCGGAAGAATTGTTCAATTGTTGATATCCTATATCATATTGAACACAGGGAAATAGGCCCAAAGAATCCATAAACGACATCATTTTATTGTTCACCAATTTTATGCATATGCATTGGAAATTTGCCCAATACTGCAAATCAGTAGTTGCAAGGTAAACGTTACTTTACACAAATGAATGAAACTTGAATTTGCCAATCAAAAATTAGGTTAACGTTGATATATTCAGTTTTTAAAAAAAAAATCATTTTCTGTAACACACCCGTTTGAAGGTGATAAACTGAACAACGTGTTATTGTCGATAATAAATATGTGTGGTAACGCCATGTAGTACAATATACATGTGCACAAGGCTAAACCGTCACATATACGATCGTAGATGATATAAACGATCCGACACTCACGACCGACGCTACAGGGAAAGATGGAAAATTTGTTTTTATGCTACGGTCCGTTCTGTGATAGATTAAATTTGACAGATCGTTTACGCTCCGAGTGCAGTTCCGGTCCCGTCTCATTAACTTTCACAGTGCGACATTACTATACCGAACTAACAGGTCTATGCATATGATAACTATATTTATTTGCGTATTGCCCCGTGTATTCAACCGGTCATGTGTTCTCCTGTACATACTGTTTCGCTGAAACTGTATATAAGATTCAATAGAATCGCTTTAGATTGCAACTATTTTGATGCATAGGGGACATCACGAGTTAGTTTGATGGACGGAGTATAATACAAAACATAACCCTTTCTCACATATACCCATGACTTGGGGCTTAGCTGATATGTGGCTTACAATTTGAGTATTAAAGTTCAACAGTAAGATAGATTATAAGATTATAATACGACTACCTATGCTCGGAAACAAACAACCTTAATTCGCGTCGAGTGTTTCGTGTCTTGTCTGCTATAAAAGTCACTCAAAATCATACAAACTCACAAAGATAAATATATAATCCACAATAAATCGAATAAAAAAACATTACAGTGTGACCTGTGTGTTTACCTACAGGGACACCTTAGTATAACAAGTACAGGCAGAAAAGGAGTTGTAAGAATTAGTCAAGCACAAGGTATGTTTGTATATTTTGTAGCAAAGTCTCATGTTACAGTAATATCTGTAGCAAAGTGCTGTTCAAATTACCATTGCACAATAACAATTAATGGTTTGTTTTGTAGGTGATAATCTCGTTACTGTGGGAACGTATTCAGATGGAGAATTGCAACTGATGGAACAGAATATATCGTGGCAAGGAGGTACGTCCGTATTTTTTTAAATAATAAGGAATGGTTCTAGTTCATTATTCATTGCCGCATATAACCTTATCGTAGACGTTTTGTATTTGTTCAATGCAGGGTTTGGGTCGAATAAGCCAAATAATGACAAATAATTTTCTTAGATAAAAAGGGGACCCGTAGTTAAAAGAAAACACGTATATCTTTCCAATAACATTCGTCTTAAACAAAGATACTAGCAACACAATGTATCGCAAACAACGCGATAATTCAAATATGAAAGACTGTCTTACTAATTGTATGTGTGGTTCAATGAAATGAGTACACCCACGTAATGGCGTAGGGTCGGTGAGATATGCACATTTTTAAATAAATTATCTTTATGGGGGATAATTGTTATTACGCCTGCTTCCAAATACAAACGGCTGTGATTTACGGTTCGATTTGTTTCTTTCATCATATATTTTGTTATTCGTATGCCATGTGAGACTCACGTGTCTCTTAATGCAATACGACTTGTATATGACGTCATATGTTATTGCGAGTTAAAATTATGACGCTTTTTCACGCGGTTCATTCAGTCGGCGGACAAAAAGACTTCATGCAAATATTCTAAATTTCGAGGAACGCAGCAGTGTATCTTTTAATAAAACTTGATGCAAAATAACGCAACAAAGGAAAACCGACATGGTTTATATATATAAACATATTTTTTAAGGATGCAGTGACGCTGAAATTGGCCGTTAGGTTTGATGTGCGAGTTCATCACAGTTTCGGCAATATGTAATACAGATTTAATCATTCTCTTGCAAAATCGTGACATGCATCTAATATAATTCTTGCTTTGGAATTGGCAGTAGCGAATGAATGTCAATTTCCAACGACGCTGTATTCCATTATCATACTACTCATGTGTCACTGACGATGTAGGCATTGTTTTGAAAAATACCCAGAGTGCAGAGACTAACAAATTCAAAGGTCGCCTCGTCCCACAGCACATTTAATTCGACGCACGTTAATTAGTTTTTCTGGTGTAGTACTTTGTGGATGTCACAGCCACAATAACAGGAATCACAACAGTAACAGCATTTGTGTAAGAAATTAAATTGATTCATTAAACGGTCTGCAAAGACAAACTATCAGGCGAGTATAAATAGATATATCAACAAATTTAGTATTTTTAGAAATCTCGAGAGACTCCGAGAAGTTGATCGACAATATAAATATTTATCATTATGAAGTTATTCGTTTGAGGGCTTAGTGAATCGAGTGTAAGTTTAATTTAGCGACTAATTAGGTCAATCTTTATTAGTTATTCAATAATTACTTGATGTAAGCGCCCGGAAGGATAAAATACAGTTTGATTTTATATCAAAACGCTCGGTAATGATATGTTTACAATTTGTTTCGTTCTCAGGCGACGTACCGAGAGACGCAACTCAGGTGATCACTGTAGACGAGAACATAAAAGACACCGTCCTCATCATTTTCTATGTTTTAGTTATCATCGGGATAACACTATCCGTGGGATTTCTCATTTTCAATATTTACTATAGAAGAGAAAGGTAATGCCATTAGGTTCTTAAATAATTAAACACGTTCAAAAATCTATTGTAGTCGTGCATATATACAAAATAATCCCAACACTGAAGGTTGCTTCCAAAGACCCAAGGACTGTCTAAACAGCACTTAACGTGCGCTATGTGTGATATGTTCTTTCAAGTTAAAGATGGTCATGAATATAGTATGGAAAACTACATGTCAATTTTCGTTAATTATATATATATCTTTTACGTCTTCCAGAATTATACGACTGTCATCACCGAAGCTGAATAATTTGATAGCCCTAGGTTGTATATTTGTCTACACTACAGTTATCTTACTGGGAGTCAATGATAATATGTGGAACACGATGACCTTTTCACTTGTATGTAAGGTGCGTACATACGTCATTGTCAGTCAGTACACGTCTGTGACAAACATGATTCGGGTATTATATGTAAGCTATTATATAACCATTTGACTATTTGAAGTGCGAGTGATTTAGCGTTCCATTACGATGATTGTTACGCGACTGCGTATTTCCGAGAGTTGGTTTTATATCAAATGGATACTTGAATGGTTATCTTAATTCTTTCATATCAACCAACTCCAAACAAGAACGAGAAAATTGCGTATAATTATGACGTATACGACAAACAACCTACATTATGGTGACAAAAAGTCCGCAAATGGTTAATTAGTTAAGACAAATTGTTATATTAAAATATACATTACACGTTTCTCTACACGACGTATTTATATTAGTATTATCGGCATGCATGGTTGACACAACATCTTAGTACAAGTGCTTTTCATCATGGCCTCAATATACTTGTCAAACATACTAGGAATGAATAGAAAAAAACAATCATAATACTATAAGTGCCCGAATTGTCGTTCTGATTTGCCAAAAGCGTGTTTTAAATTATAAAAACTGTGGTTAAATAATACAGGGTTTTCAGGTTTAAAAGTATGGCCTGAACGTGAATAACACACGATAGAGGATAAATTCTACTGTGAACTGGAAACTGGAAGACATAAAACGTAGTAAAAAAAACATTATGACCCTTAAGTATTTGGGGATAAAAAAAGATTCATGAGAAAATTATTTTTACAGAATTACGCAAATGACGCCAAAGAAAAATGATTGCCGTCTGCAGTGGCTCACTCGTGAACCCAGAAGCCTTCTCGGTCATCAAAACGAAATCGAGCGTACGTCACCAACTGGAGCCTGCCTTTTTTTTAATTATGTCTTTTGAGACGATTTTACATTTATAAACGTTGCCACTAACAAGAAACTATTCCGAGTCGATTAAACGTATCGCAACGGGTCCAAATTTGCTCCACAGTTCGATGTATGTATATTCGCTATATGATACGTAGTTTTGTTTTATCACTGTTGCAAGTAGAACGTATCGGTGCTATTAACATATTCCCATATCTCTTAATTATACTTAAAATGAAACTGGCATAATAATAAAATTGCAATAAACCCTCGCCGCAGTAGGATATACAGCTCGATCACAATCAGCTCCATACACACACGAGCGTTAGCGATTACATTAATTTTAAAGCTAATGCAATAGAAATATAGAAACATGTATACTAGTCAGAAATAATTTATAGTACTAATATGAATTCCCCATTGGTTAGCAGTTTTAAACAGAGCCTGATCAATTATGCCCGGATCGTCCATTTAAAAGCTTCTAAACTAAAATACATTTGTTCATTTTGAAAACGTTGCCAAGGTGAATACCAAATAAGCTTTTCTAGCGGCATCTTTTATAAAATTATCTCTCATGTTTGGCTTAAGGCGTCACGTCATTATCACAGTTTTAGCTTTATATGACGGAAATCTGTGAAATATCGAGATGTTCAGTTTCAATAACGACGTTGATTGCGTACGTTACAATAACGTGGCCAACACTGGCAAGGATTTACACCAACGGTTTGAAACAAATAAAAATGTTTTTGTTATGGGTCAAATGCCGTAGTTTAAACAGCTGGAAAACGCTGATACTGCGATTGTTTTTTGTAATGATAGAGCATATTTATTATGTCAGTAGCTTCGAGTATGGACAATGACGCTGGGATTTACATTGGCATTTGGGGCTATGTTTGTGAAGACATGGAGAGTACACAAGATTTTTACGGCTACGAAAGGACGCTCAAAGAGCCTGAAAGTAGTGAGTATAATGCAAAGTAGTTCAAATAGTGTGACCAATAACCATGTGTTTAAACAATACAACACCATATTTTTTCCAAACCTGCTGTTTTACATTTTATACACAATAATTAGTTTTGTAATTCGTTGAAGGTGTCAATGCCATCAGGTCGTATTCGATTAGCATGATTAAGCTCGACATTGACCTCAGTACTACTTAGATTTTCAATTACAAAGATCTCCGACAGTTCTGATTACCAATCAATTTTCTGTTCGAAAAGCCTTAAGATTTTCACAGTTTTATGGAAGATGAATTTTACTCCTAAAATAACATATTATTTCAGTTGTGTTTTCCATGTGAGTGATTTATAGTTCCGTTTGAACACATTACTGTTCTAAAAGTGTCAACGTTTATGTGAATTAATTGATGGCACGCTAGCTAACGAATACGTTCATATATGTTACAATGCAAGTGATTTATGTAATGATAATTAATAGGTCTCCAAGAGTACAACAATTTCCAACACTTACTAAATATTGATTTATAGCGACACCCTCTCATTATCCCGAGCAATCAGTTCTGCCCCATATTTATATCTTACAGGTTATTACAGATGCTCATTTGTTTGGTATAATCAGTGTACTGCTAGTGATTGATATTACATTACTAATTTCATGGGAAATTGTAGACCCATTTCGAGTGACGTCATCAGTGATTACCAAGGTAGTATGCGCGTTTCATTTTAATGTTCGTTCTAATGATAACGAAAGTGTCAAGTTTATTGTGAAAATCATATGTGAATAGGAATTAATGTGATTGTTTTGATATTGTTAGAAGGTGAGAGGTTAATGATAGTTGATCTAGTAGAGTTAATTGCATGTGAAATCATTCAGGTATTGTGCGTATCAATCTTTGTATTGTTGAAACATCACATACATAATTTCATTCTTCTTTGCATTCTATACAGAGATACGCTGTGATTGAAGACGAAGAGATGTTCGTAGAATATAAACGGTATACATGCGAGAGTCGGTTCTCAAAGGAATTGACATTCGCTCTACAATGCTTCAAAGGTAGCTTTCTGTTAACCCATTCATGATTGCGTGCTTTGACTCTAAAAGTAATATTCAGCATTATAATAGCAAACTAGTCATTTACTATTGATCCTTTGATCAGTGCGTAGCCCCTACAAATATTGATCAACTGACTTTCTACCAAAGAACACAGCATTTTTAAACGTACGTATGCAAGGCGTATGTAACAGGCGAACAAAACACATTAAAACAGCGAATTACTCCAAAAACAGAGAAAACTGCTAAATTCGTTTGTCTCGCTGCCATTGGCATCAAACTTAAAACAAATTCGCATTTTAATAGTGACATAAATTCAGTCTTCATATACATCCAAACTAACCACTCGTCATTTTGGTGTTTATGCAAAGTTAACTAGAGGATACCCATGATTTTCTGCTTCATTTTATTATAATGCAAATTTGTTAATCAAATGTATAATATCTGTGAACATATTTCCGCAATACTGAAGGTGTACAGCACGGTGTTGGCTGAGTAAGTAAGTTATCTCGGGGCGTTGTGTGCTGCGTGGAACTCCACGTGTGTAGCTAGCTGACTAGCAGCAGTGAATGACTTGTTTGCTCAGATATATACTGGTGTTCTGTTTGATTACGTCACACGCTACAGGCTCGTTCGCAGCTGGTTTTACGATACACGGAACCACAGTTCACATCAATATACCAAACGGTACAAACTTAGTGGTGTGATAGACACATGGATTGTTGATAGTGATCATTACACGACTAAGTACAAATAGGAGTAAATACAAATCTATGACGTGCTCAGTGGTACCATGTGGTATACTAGTATTACGTGAAAAACATATACCTTTATCGTTACAATGTAATACGAATTTTCTCTACGTATAACAATATAATTTATGATGATCCATATTTGTTTTACCAGGTCTTTTTCTGCTTAGTGGTGTGTATTTGGCGTGGGGTACACGTAATGTAACCATTGGCGCCCTAAACGACAGTAAATACATAGGGTTGTCCGTATATAACGTTTTGATATTGAGCATTATTGGTAAGTTGTAGTTGAGTATATTTTATTTAACATCCTGGTATTAAGAATAAACCATAACTGGTTATGCTAACAATGGACATGTCATTGATTGGCTTTCGATCTAATACGAGTCACATGCTTGTAAAATAAGGTCTTGCGGTTTTCTTAACTACCGTATTTCCCAAATCTTAAATACATTTGACCTTTCGACTATATAAATCAATTATATGATGTGTCGAGTATTGCTGTAAGTAGTCTAAAAATACTATATTATGAGTATGCATATTATCCAGATTACTCAGATTGTGAAAACACATCAGCGCATTCGATGTTAAATGTTATATTCACGGTATGAGTGATTCTATTAGTTGTTATAAAAAATCACAATCCAATACATGTAATATGTTTTATATGAATATATTGACAGCATTGACAGTGGATCACTTCGTACATAATGTGACGCTTAGATATATTTCCATAGCAACAGTGTTACTCATAGCAACGACCAATACATTATGTCTCGTGTTTGTACCAAAGGTAAGGACCCATGTTTTAGTATACTCTAGTTATACTGTTTCTCTTATTACTGATTGTAAGAAAGACATACTGGGTTTCTGTATGTTATCGACACTAGCTTAGACACGCTGCTAATGCATTGCGATCTATATTCCTTGCCGTAAAACAGTAGGTGGTAAGTTTTAACGAATACGGCATTAACACTTCGTTGTGAGAATATCTCTTATTCATCGGTGTTAAACATACGTCATTTACACGTCGTCACTCAAACAACCTCACACCACATTTATGCGTCACGTAAGTCACGTAAGTACATGCAAGGAACCATGACAGCATGCATTATGCTTGTTTGAGCACGCTTATCCGATCTCATCTTCACCGTTACCATATTTCACTGCCTGTGATTACAGATATATGCGCAATGTCAGGAAACAGACCATGGTAGCACCAGTGTTAGAACCAGACGACACAATTTATCTACAATGGAAAGTACTAGTGCTATTATTAGACGTGGGAGTGATACATTGATAAATAACCAAGTGTTGAACGCAGTAAGTCCGATACATTTTCACAAACTAAAATACACCTATTCCTATTCCTACTTCAAAACAATAATCACTGAACATGTGGCTCTCATGCAACTTTATCATACTCTATGTACTGATCAAATGTAATTCAATTTAATTTTCAGAAACAAGACGAACTGAGAATACTTCACCAAACATTATCCAATCTAAAGACAGAAAATACATTTATATCTGAAAGTGATTGCAAATTTGGATGCTGGATCAACCCTGTCAGTAAAAAATGCCGCCGACGTTGTTTTGACACAGTGGAGAACATGGATTTACAAATGCAGACCTCAAATAGTACAATAGCCATGCAGTCAATTTGAAATTGAAATATAAACGGCGTAAAGACAATATACATACAGTGTTAGTACGAACCTGTTATAGTGTAGCTCACAATAACATTTTTTTTCTAAGAGGGTTACAACTAGAATTTGATGAGAGTAGATGTAATAAAAAAAATATCAGTGTAAGGGTTGTCATAGTAACATTCAGTGCTCCTTCCAGATATGCAATACAACCAGCTAACTAAGTAACATGACGGTACGTAACATGACGCACGTACACAGTAGTAATTCAGCATCAACCGTCTAACATAATGATTGCACATGGGAGCAATTTATGTCCGTATCCAAAAGCAATCGACCTATAGGACCCGGAACAAACACATGACCAATACGAATGGCAAGTCAAACAGTGGCACGACTGCAAGTACCCCATGTTTTGTAATCAATCATGTAGAATCGATTTAGTTCAGTGTTTTTTCTAAATAAGGAAAACATGTGATGACGGTGATGATTCAATCTTGGGGATACAATTGTAATTCAGGCATGATTGGCTTCAACAGTTAGTTGTACTCGTCGCTACATTATTAACCTAATATTGAATGAGTGGTGACGTCATACGATATTAACCGGTCAGTCATTGCGAGTAATGAATTAAGTTGGAGGTCATACTACAATAATAAGTCCGCCACCTCGTGGAACATGTACCAAACGAATGTAATACATGAAATGTACCAAACTATGTTTCATATATTTGCTTCATTGTAACAGCTGAACAGAAATGTTGCCTTTTACATCACCTCTATCTCAGTGACGTGCGTTTGTGTATAAACTGTCTGTCGATTAACGATACGCACTTGAGTGATCAATGCTTTCGACTTCAAGCTTGTGCTGACGATACACATTTCGTGTTCATAAATAATAATATCAATTATTCCATCGATAATCAATAATTTTCAAAATGAGATGCAATAATATAAATATGATCAATTACAAGAATGGTAAAAAAAACCCATCAAGATACCAGTGACAGTTTAGGGCAGTCTGAGTATCAATAGAATCCTCTGACGAAAGTGTTCTCATTCATTCCTTCATTGTCGTCGTTTTCAGCATATTGATGAAAGATCGCTAATGTGACGTAATTGTGACTCACATACGTAGTCAGTAATTCCATAATATTACGAACACGTGTAATAAACCCCCTAACTACGGAAAACATATTATAGTTTCGAACCTTGTAAATTTATTTCTTTGTTTCTCACTTTCCTTATCTTTCCTTATAGTACAGTTACCACAAGTCAAACATTGTTTAACGAACTGATCAAACGAGTGGAGTCTTTATGTTATGGTAAACTAATATCCTGCAAATGTGTTCAAGGTACACAAGTTGAAAGTATAAAATATTGCTGACGAATTACTCAATAATTACTGCAAAACAATATTAATTATTTGAACAGTATTAACATATTGAACTAACATAATATAACCATTGTACCTAATATCTTTGAGTGATGTTAACAATTAAGGTAAAGATTATTGATTTAGAAAAAATCTTAATTTATAATTAATCTATATTGTAATGAATTTCAGTAACAACACAATGGGTGTCATTATATGAAAACTACGTGAATATAAATTACAATGTAACAACAATTCAAACTAATATCCTGCAAATGTGTTCAAGGTACACAAGTTGAAAGTATAAAATATTGCTGACGAATTATTCATTAATTACTGCAAACAATATTAATTATTTGAACAGTATTAACATATTGAATTAACACAATATAACCATTGTACCTAATATATTTGAGTGACACAACACAATGGGTGTCATTATATGAAAACTACGTGAATATAAATTACAATGTAACAACAATTCAATTTTAAGACGAATGTTAGTATGCAGTCATGTGTGCATGGCGATAAACATAGTTAGGTTTATAAATAGCGTAAAGTATTTTTGGTTTTACGTAAGGCTATTACATTTGTATCTGAAATAACATTTCTCGTCATTCAACGCATTCAGCCATTCCATCGAAACCGTCAATATACACGTTTCTCTTTTCCTTTTGGAATAAAATGTATTGATCCCAGGTAGATCTATTAAAATGACTGATTTGTTGTACCAGTTACTGATGTTGGTATAAAATTATTAACAATAACAATGTTCAAAAAAATTGCGTCCGTCCTCAAGATCTACCATCAAGGTGATGGATTTCTCTGTCTATGTAAACCCAGGATGTAGTAAACACAGATGGAGCATTTTTCTTAAAGTTTACCACAAATGTAAGCACAGGAAACAATTAATATTAAGTCATAAGGGTTATATGAATAATGGAAGAAGGTGTGTATACCATTGTCTAGCTAATTTTACCTTGTATTAAAAAGAAAAATGATAGAAAAAGTATCTGGCATGAATATGAGCTTCATCAAAAATAGACCTGATTTTATATTGAAATAATTAAAAATTTATGTAATAAAAACAGTTGTCATAACAGCACACACAAACACAGACAAACACACAAACACCCCTACACACGTCACACACTCTACTTCCATTTCATATTCCTCTCACAGTGATATAGTAATAGTGTTTATATTTATATTTCAATATAGTTATATTAATGTACTCAATCAACTGGATTATACTACGTCAAAAGCTACCTATCTCTGTATACGTGAGTCATATTACCAACGTTACAATACTATCGAACGTATTGTGCTCCTCCAAATATACATAATATTTTAAAACATATATGGTGTTTAATTAGACAGATCGATCGCGCATATTCGAATACTAAATAGTGGCCAAAACTTAATCAGAACAGTGTGTTTTTCAAAAGTGTCACATGATTATTGATTTTGACACATTTCATATACCTTTCAGATTTGTTTCCCAGTAAGAGATATTTGTTTGGAGACATCATTTCCTAAAATAAAAATCATTCTTGACAACCATGTGTATCCAATCTGTAACTACATATGATTTTTTTCATATGTCACAAAAATAAATTATAAGATATAGAGTTAATAATAATTACCATAAGAACCAAAGATATAAATAGTGCTTATGTTCAAAGTGGTTTGACCTGGGTTTTGTGAAAAAAGTAGTTCTGGGTTTTGTAAACAACAGTATCATGTAAAAACATCATTTGTTTTAAGTTTAGCCAACTATCTTTACATTATCAACAACATTCACAAGACGTGTAACTGCTTGAAAAATCACTAGGGAAATTATGACTGTACACAACTACTGTACAAGGATGTGTTTGGAGACTAATTATTCAAAAATGTTGGATACAGTCAGTCGTGTCAGTCTAAATGCGAAAATATACGACTGGCGGTAGCCTACAGATGTCGCCCGACGTTTAGAAATGGATTTATCGCTTGATGTCCACCATTCCAGTTGCGTGTGTATTTGAGCCATAGGCCGACTACTCTCGTTCGTATGATTTCGCTTTCAATTTAAAGCGGGGGAGTCGTCACCTGCGCATGCGTCAGATGGCCATAGCCTGTCGTTGTTTACAAACAAGCATCTACCCATGAGCCTTTGCGTTTTAGCGTGTGTTGTTATCATCGCTTGGGGCTCAATTCTCGCGCGTGCGCAGGCGAGGACCCTCCCGCTTTAAAGTAACCTTGTAACAAATCCCGTCACTTGTTGTGTCTATATCCCAATTTCATGATCACCGATGCAAAACTATTTGCGAAGACAGTTATTGTCTGTATTTTAAAAAGCAGCATCTGATAATCTGATGGTCAACAAAAAGTGTGAAATAAGCGACTTTTTTTCAGACATTTTGATAAATTGATTATTTATTCATATTTTACATTTTGAATTTCGATATCATTGCAAACAATCCTAGCTCTGATGTACATTTACTCGGTGCCTGCTTTTCTGGTGACATGTGATTTCACGCAATTGTAAGTATTTGGTTTATAAAAAGTGTTATGACACATTTCTGCATCCGGTGATATTTAAAAAAGGCACATCATGTGTTTGTTGTGAAGTTATTAATTGAATGATTCGTTTTCGGGTCACGTCTATGTGAACCTGAAGTGTAGTATAATGGTGTTTCGTCCAATATATACACTTTTCTCCCATAAGTTTAATCGCTTTTATTGATACCGCGTCTGTTCGGAAATTGACACAGTGATGTATATGTAAATAGATTTACTATTTAATAAACCTTCTGTGAATATTAATTCATGGAAAATCAAAATAAATAGAATTATCGCCGATGACGTACATTGATCCATGTTAGAATTCTGGGTATGTTTACAGAATCTTTTTCACATACATCAATGAATGCACATGGAGTGCTATTGTACCATTTATTTATTTATTTATTTATTAACGCAACAATATACACGACAAAGGTAGTATCATAACGAGATAATGTACAAGTTATGATAAATTGAGTATATTAGGAAATATCGAGTGGTATACACCACTTTGGCGGGGTTCATTAACATTACATTACATCAGCATTGCTTTACCGTGCTTGTTACCGTACGAGACAAAAACGCTTCAAATCAGGTGTTCTTGACGTAAACTAAATAGACCATTAAACTAACATTTTACCTTTTGAGATACTTCGAAGGCAGCGTAAATTATAATACTGTAACACTGTAATCAAAATTATGTTCGTTTTCAAATTGAATTTCTTTGCGGAGACTTTCATTAAACTTCTTAACGGCAATAACATTCGTATGAGAGAATTAGTGAAGTCGACATTCAATTACACCGGTTTATGAGCCGGTAAAGTGACTTTCTCCATTATCAAACTGTCAATATATTCTAATTCCCGTCATTTATTGCATTTTCCCAGCATACGACAGAATAAATTCATTTGTAATTCGAAATTGCCTGGTGTAATTTCAACATAATCTATTATCTATCTTGGTCAATCTAAATAATAAATTGTATAGTGTGTTTTCAATAGACCATTTTCCGTACACTGCGAGAATCACGCGTTATGCGTGAAATCGAACGTAAAAACAGGACAAACAAAGGTCATAGCGTCGTAGTCGCGTCAAAC